ATTTGCAAGTAGGCACTTCTATATGTAATTCATTGTCTTTGTGCCAGGGGACGTTATGGATTGTGGTGGACGTCTAGTTAAAACCTGAATGCTACCTGTACATTCAGGGTTTTGATGTGCTTAGTAAATCCAAACTATCCCAACAAGTTCATGTCGGTTTCGTTTAATGTAGAGGCTTGCATTTCATATATTTATAGATAAGTGTTGGAGACTGTGCTGTTGGAGACTGTACTGTTCGTAGTAAACATTAACATTACCAAACTTGAACCCACAGGCATACCTTCAAGGAGGCGTGCTATCATGAAATACAGCGGTTTCCTGTGGAATATCCATCTTAGATTTACAAATTGTGTACATCTAAGGACCTTCACTTAGTTGATGTTCTGATGTGGGTAAAGTTCCATCCACGAGACAGGGGAAGTCCTGAAAACACGTATTGGTTGTTTTGTGGCTAATTCAGCCCGCCAATGCTACTGACATTCTTGTTTACTTATATTTAACTTCAATAACATAGAAGCTGCTGTGGAATACGCAATGTGGAATACACTGCTAATTACCTCGTTACTCAACTACCATATTATGGTTTTGTTTAGTTTTGTGCTTAGAGTTGCTCTTTTAATATAGCCTTGACGTGCGTTTAATAGAAAACATTGGCTGAGGCTGATTAGAGATTTCGTTTTTTCAGTGATATATATAGCAGCCAAGCCACATCAGTTTACAATTCAAAGGTTGAACTTGAAGCGGGCTGCGCTTTTTGTCTTACCTTACTAGGTGGGGGCTGTTTCAATTCAGGTTAACTACACTACTAGCGTCCTTATGAGGCTTTCATGCATTTAAAAACCCTTTCAAATTATTAATACCATCGGCGTAAAAGATCAGTTCTCTTTCCATTGAAAACTCAAATTGAAGTGTTTATATTTCCTGCGATCGCATAGGGGAGGTCTTTTACTTACAATATAATAGCATTAAATAAAAACTCTTACACCTTACAGCCATGGGACAGCCTAAATCCCAGCAGCCTGCAGACTGTATTAGTATCCATTTTAAAACAGGTGAGATTGAAAAGCAATATGAATATTATGAGTTGTATGTAAATAAACATGAAAATGGGGCCAATCGACTGAATGCAGAGGATGTGTGATTCGTCTGTGATGACGATCGACTGTGTGCGCTGATTTGCACATTCACACGCAGGATTGCACTTTCAAATCAACCGGAGGCAATATACAACGTAGGCTAAATGAAGCGTGTACAATGGACGAGTTTAGGGAGCAATTTAGGATTAAGGTCGTCAATTTATTGCATGCCCATTTATCAGATTTTAAAGTAATAGTTGCGGAGTATTTCGATTTACAGTCAAAAATAATTTGCCCAGCATACAAATGCAAAATTAGTTGGACTGTTTGTGTTTTCACCAATGGCTGGCACACGCAAATGTCATTGCAAGTAATCAGATGTTTCAGACGGCATGCAATGTGCAGGAATTGCCATAACATATTTAATTTAGGTTGCGAAGAAGATTTCAATTATATTTCCTGATTATCAAGCAAAATACGAATTCAATCCTGACAACCATTACATGCTTGTACATGCTTACTGTGACTTGCAAACACATCAGACAATGCTCTCTCAACATGTCCTTCATTGAGTATCAAATAGACGAAGGGCAATTAGCACGTTCTGTTTCGAAATTGGTCATTATTATGTCAATTTTACTTCAAACTGCACCTAGCCTTCAATATCTTGTTAATGCCTAGCATTTATGCAGTGCCAGTAGGTTTTTATTCACCGAAGATCATTTTTATGCCAACGACCGGATTTATCCGCACATAACTGCTCAGAACAATAGGTTTCAACATATCTAAACTTGCAAAACGGGCCAGAGATCCTGAAATTAGATGCGTATTAAAAAAACAAAAATACATTAAATTTGAGTGATATGGCCTGCAAAATGTCCGATAGAAGTGCCCGTTATTTTATAAAGGCAATTTCTGTACTGCCAGCATGGTTCCTACACTAAAACGTCAACATTGAAGAATGGCGTAATCTATCACCATTGGTATTTATCTTAAGAACTTAAAATCGAACTCTCCGCCATGCTAGAGACGTCACGTTTGATGATTGCACTAGGAAGTAATTCATTATGTCCGCCTTCTGCCGGCGGAAAAGTAGTTACCAAACTTTAAATTAAGCTCTTATTTGACTATGGTTGCTCACGGCTCGTTTGCAGACTGCAAGATGTCTTCATCTCATCAAGTCATCCAAACATTTTGCGGAATTATGTTATTTTGACTTGAATTTGTTGTTCATGTATGTTGTGTCCAGTCGTCTCTTAGTACCAACAGATGCCCAATTTATCTTTGGTTTTAGGCAAATATATCCTAATGTTGACGTTGTGCGCGATTGCGTTTGCCCGTAGCTTTGTAGTACATGAAATAACCCAGTTTCCCTTAGGAGTCTCGACAAAGGCATTTGCCTTCAGAATTAGGATTTGCATCAGATGGAAATTTTTTCTATTGCTAAGGACCAATCGGCGCGGTTGCAACTGGAACTTCACCTTATACTCTACAAGGCTTTCTCCATGCCAATAATCTTCGCCACTAACTGGCCACGTCGAGTTGGACGCCCGTGACTCCAATCAAGACACACTCACGAGGGTCGTAAAGCAGCAGTGGCAATTGGTGCAGGAAAAATGTGCTTTCCGTAGACCTGAGATAATTGAAGCCCGATTTCATTGCTGTAGCTGATCCTCTTGGACCTACCTATTTTTCCAAACAATATTGGCGGTGCCCCCGCGGGTAGTGTATGTCCAAATGAATTAATGATTTTCACCTTCGGCGCAATCCTTAGGAGAACATAAACGTTGTCGTTGGATCTGTTTACCACGTTGTCTGAGTCCGTCGATGAGGGAAGAAATACAGGAACAAAGGACGCGGACAAATCTATTTCCATATAAGGATAAAGATAACTAACGCCCGAGGCAGGCTGGTCAGATCTCTCAACGCACTTTCTCGTCCTAAAGGCAACTGCGGCATCTGTTCACTCCATAACTGGGGGTCCAGCGAAAACTGCATGTGGCACGCATATGGTCCGATTGCCTTTGTCAAAAGAAGCAGATCGCAGAAACTGTTAAAAATGTTTCCTAAAATGAGGTTATTCTAGGGCGGTCGAAAACGTTCGCAGTTCGCGCCGTCTGCCATTTTCCGGTTAAAAAAGGAAGACGCGTGTGAAGGAACTCGGATATGAAGGAAGACGTATGTTATTTTTTGCCGTTTCTGTTGACCGGATACTTTTATGTCCATTAAACTTGCGTTGACTGTTGACGGCCCCGTTTAGACAGACATTTACAAAAAAATTTCAAGATCCTACCCACAAGAAACGAGCAGTCTTACCTCCACAAATGGCTAATTTGTTACTGCATGAGACTGGTGCTTTAAACAATGTGTGATTGTCAGGAAGGCGGCTGGTGTTACCGGCAATCGACTGCGAAATCGATGTCGGATATTGTGGAATAATGCTTGGTTTGGCATGGGCCATACCGATCAGCTGGACTAACATAGGAATCCTGAGGTATTCATGCACCCATTTAATCGGACAATCAGCATGGATTCACAAATATGCAAATTAAAGCAATGTGCAGGTCATAGATTGTTCAGAGGAAATTAGCCCACGTCCAATCCTGGTGCAAGGATTGGTCAATTATAACCCAACATCGCTCCGGAAAAACTTATTTCCGAGAAGACAAAGCGTCCACGCATGGTCAAGCCACGAGTCCTGACACATCGTGAGGGCCTGACAGGGAGAGGAATTATTTAAAACTAGGAATGTGTTTAAGTCGGCAGATTTAAAAGGCGTTGCACGGTAGTTTTCAAATATATATTAGATACTTTTCAACATGTACAATAGGGGAGCTGCCAGTTTATATCCCGACGAAGAGCGAATGCATGAGCTTGACCTCTTGCCAACAACAATTGCGGTTTTCGGACCAAAAGATTATTCTTCACAACACTAGCATATATTTTTTCGAATATATTTAAAAGTACGTAAAGCATGTGAAGAACATCAGTGCCAAGTATCTGGTCCTCGTAGCTCAACTCAAATTGGGCGTAGCCGAATACGCCACAGAGCGTTAAAATAATTTGCTCCGAACTCCCACTGTTTGCGTCTTTAAATAAATCCAAATCGGAGGCGTGGGCCTGAAGATCAAACAGCCTTTCGTAAGTGGACATACAGGCTAGAATATATTTTCATCCCTAAGAGGAACATTAGGAAATACATAAATTTACACATTATTCTGCGCAATTTGAAGAGGATATGAACTTCTGCGCAGTCGTATATATGTTCAAAAATTAGTTGGTTTTTCCATATGCCAAAATATGTGGGGTCTGAGAATGGTGTAATTGTAAAGCTAACCAAGCAGATTATTCATGAATTAATGATTTGTAAATTATGCTCCTAGGCAAAAGGTATCACTAATCCCCGCCACCTCAATCTATGACTTGACCGCTTGTGTCAAAACACTTGCGTTTGAAGTGAAATAAA